GAACGTTGCTGCACCATTATTTGGTGCATATAAATTGATAATTGTTATGTCTTGTTGGTGGATAGTTCCTTTCAACAGGATATAGTGTCCTTCTTTATCCCTTTTGATTAACTTAGGTTTGAAGTTGATTTTATTCGATATGAGTATGGCCACTCCTGCTTGCTTCCGAGGGCCATGTGAGTGGTATGATTTTTCCCAACCTTTCACCTTCAGCCTGTGTATRTCTTTTCCTATCATATGAGTCTCCGATACAGGAACTCTTTCATATCACATTCAGTTACATCAGGATGGATCCAGAGGTAGTGGTTGCATAAATAGAATTTGTACCAACAAAATTCTAAGCTTACTTCAATTGTTGAAAATTAATTCATTTTCAGAATTCAGAATCTGATTTTCAGAGTACAAGAAGCTTGACAGAAAAAGCAATTGAGCATAATCAGCTCTCTTTATTGCTTAGTTTAAAACTGTTTAGGCTGTTTTATGTGATATGAATCAGAAGGACTTGATAAATATTCCTATGAACACCTAGATGGATCACCTTAGTGAATGTGTAATTGCCTATGAAACACAGTCTTAAACAAGCAAATTCAGAATCAAAGGGGATGTTTAATAATTGTACTTTCACTTTCTTTAAATCTTTGCCAAAATAACAGGTGGTAACTTCATTGGGGAGCTACAAGAGGAAAATGGATCTTGGCAGATGGTCAGTAATTTGAGGTTAATGCAATGCAGCTCATACTCAGAAATTGAGAGGACTTTTTATTTTCAAGAAAGTCACTAGTTTTGTAAGTGCTTTTTTATTTGGAATTTGCTATGCTGGTAGCACAGTATTAAGAGAATATCTTTCATCAGATATATAAAAGTGATTGTTCAAGGATTTGAAATGCCAGTAATACTAAATTGTGACCATTGTATGGCATAAAACATTTTTTCTATGAATATATTTTCACATAAATTTGAAGGTTTGAGAAAAAAGGTGAAAATTTGTGAATAGTGCTATAGAAAATTTAATCTGTACCCCACAAGTCATAAATACTGACCTTCACATCAATGACACAAATGGGATGAAGCAGAGACAATATTAGAATGAACATGAAACTTTGATAGTTTTCTGAGTTATTGAATAAAAGTGTCCACTTAATTACAGAATGCAAAATAAATATTTCAAAATCCCAAATTTCCAACTTCATGAAGTTTTCTAGAAAGACAGTTATCTGAAATTGTGGAACATTAATTTTGGAACATTAATTTTAGCTCTGCCTTTTCAGTACCAAACCTCTTATTCCAGAATGTACTGAACACTATTAAATAAGAATAGTGTTATAATAATCTTGTTCTAGATTTTACTGGGTGTTCTGGATTTTACTAAGAATGCACTGTTCAGTATATTGTTGGTATGGTTTAAGATAGGAAGAGATATTCTTGTCCTACTTTACCAAGAGATGTAATTTCCCCTCCCACTCATGAGAAGAGAGAGACTTTGTTATACTCATTAATGTATCCCCTATAGATCCTGTAAAATGCATGACATACATAGGCACTCAATAAATGTTGTTAGAATGAATAATGAATCATCTAGAAGGCTGTTACCAATAGGACATGTAAGTTGTCAAAGAAATTATATAAAAACAGTTTATTTGATATCTTAAGAGAAAAACTTTCAAGGAACATGAGAATTGTAATCAATATCCTCTACTGACCATAGAGTGGAAACAGTAAGTGTGACCTCACTTCCAGTGCTCTTTCACTAACTACTCTTTATGTATAAACACCTTGGGGGCAGGAGACCTGTCTTGTTCATTTCTGCATTTTTTACTACCAAGCATGGGGCCTGGACAAAAACTTGTTGAGCAAAAGAACATCTCTTTTATACTTTTTGTTTTTCTTTTGGGTTAAATTAAATGGCTAGAATAATTCAAATTTAACATTTAGGAAAATTTAACCTTTGCATTTAAAGGTACATTATCTTAGGTATTTGATTTTAAACCGAATTAACCTAAAGAGATATCTGGTTGCTTGAGAGCAAAAGATAAGGATCTGTGAGCAGAGATATAGCATTGATTGAGAAACTGACCCTTTCAAAGGGATTAAGTTGTTTCTCTGCTTCCTTTTCTCTAGTAGTAAAATGGTCCTGGTAATTGTTATTCCTTCATTAGGAATTGTTACATCTAATGTTTTTCCTACTAGCATATCTTTTTAAAAACTGGTTTCTCTTTTATTAGTTAGAAATGATAAAAATGCAACAAAGTCTATCTATAAATTAATAAAATTAACTGTAAACACATTTACATGATACAAAAATAACAAATGTTTATAACCTTGTAAAGGCACCTCTTATGCTCCATTTGGACATGCTTAACATCCTGTAGTTTGCTAAATATTCCACGATTTTCTTCATCTGTTTGATTTTGTGAAAGAAAAAATTTTTGTAAAAGAAAAAAAGATTATCAGCATTCTGAAAGAATTTAACATGAATTACTACTAAAATATTTCAATGCCTCTTTTTTTGTTTCATGTTGATATATTTATTTTCTTATTTATGAAAGTCTTTTTTTTCTCTCTTGGAAACTGACAATAATCTCAGTATATACAAATCAATTACAAGTCATCAAGATGGTTCAGTCATAGCTGCCCATTTGAATTGAAAACAAAGAACCCAAACAAACCCCTTCCCCCAAATCCTTAGGTCACCCATCTCTAGAGATGGAATTTAAGCATCTGTACTTTTCAGAACTCCCCAAGCATTCTACAAAATACCTGACCAGCATTTTTCAAAACTGTCAAGGTTGCTGGCATAGTGGCACAAATCTGTAATCCCAGTGCCTGTAATGTCAATGGCTTGGGAGGCTGAGGCAGGAGGACTGCAGGTTCAAATTCAGGCTCTGCAATTTAGTGGGGCCCTAAGCATCTTAGTGAGATCCTATTTCAAAATAAAAAATAAAAAGGACTGGGGATATGGCTCAGTGGTTAAGCACCCCTGGGTTCAATCCCTGGTACCAAAAAAGCAAACAAACAAACAATCAAACAGTCAAGATCATTATTAACAAGGAAAGTGTGAAAAATTGTCTTGGACTAAAGGAGGTGCAGGAGATGTGATGACTAAATATAATGTGATAACCTAAACGGGATCCTGGAATAGGAAAAAATGATGTCAGGGGAAAACTACTGAAAGTCCCATAAGCTATAGCATTTGCCTAATAGTGAAGTGCCAGTGTTATTTCCTTAGTTGTGAAATCATTCTATTGCAATGTAACATACTAACAATAGGAAGAACTTTGTGAGAGTACATGGAAACTTGATATTATGTCTGTAACTTTTCTGTTTGTATCAATTATTATAAAATAGTTTGTTTTAAAAATCGGTCTAATATGGATCCAGGGTGGAGATTCACATAGGAATCTGCAGATAACAGAAGGCCCCCTCAGTTACCAGTAAGCCTTCTCAAAACCTGATCTTCACAATGGAATGCTGCATTAAGACCCTTAAGACAGATTACAGTTCTAGAATCACTTCCAGGAAAACACAAATGGACTAGCTATAATAAACACAGCTGTAATAATCATTATTCTGATACTCACTTCCAAGATACAAAGGATTTTTTAGTAACTAGGAGAAAATCCACTTCTTAGTTTAGAAATTCAAGTTTCATTTTGATATCTACAAAAAATTATCTGGATTAAATATAATAGCTGCATTATGGTTTCCTAGAGATTTTAGACAATTAATTGCAAGTGATTTATCTTTGCTAGGAGCCTTGCCAATCTGTTATCTACAGTGATAAAGGAGATTTAGATAGCTCAGAAAGTTCTGCAGTATTAATTTTTTCTTTCCCCCTTCCACTGTGGTAGGATGGAAGCAAAGGAAAAAGATCCCCTATTCTTCCATGAGGCCTAACTTGATTTAGCCTGGCTGCCCTTTTGTCTTTCTAAGCACTGCCGTTATATATCTATCATTCGGAAGAAATCAGTGACAAGTGCCTGCCTAGCATGCACAAGGCCCTGAGCTGGAATATTAGCACCAGAAAATAAATCACTATGTACAAACAACCATTTGACAAATTGCACGTTCAAAAGCTCCTTTTAATTATTTTTGGCATTCATTATATACTTGGGGGGGGATCACAAATTTATAATTGATAATTTTTTAAAAAATATTTATTTTTTAGTTGTAGTTGGACACAACACCTTTATTTCACTTGTTAATTTTAGTATGTGGTGCTGAGGATGGAACCCAGGGTCTCGCAAGTGCGAAGCAAGCGCTCCACCGCTGAGCCACAACCCCAGCCCATAATTGATAATCTTTATGCATCTTCGAAATAACAAATATTAACAGCCTGTAGCACCCATATTACAGTCAGAGCTCCCTGACTCCACGAGACTTTAGGTAAGTGATTTCTCTTCTCCAAGCCTATCTCAGTTTCTCATCTGTAAAAGGAGAGGATCGGATCAAGCAATCTTTAAAGCCCCGGGTAGTTCAACATTAAGATTCCGCGACAAGGACCTGGAGAAACGGCAGAGTTTTAGGATTTTGGGAGGAGGCCGATGGAGATGCCACCCAGGGTCGTCTCCCGGAACTTTTGGGGACAGCCGGGAAAGCTGAGCGTGGGTTGCTAGGCAACTGCGCCTCCTGGGAGGATGGAGGACCCCAGGCGAGGTGTCTAAGTCACAACCTCTATGGTGTCTTACTTTTCGAAATTAATGAAATCTACAGCTTTTAACAGTACACATTTTCTTGCAGCCACGTTGGGGCAAATTCTGATGCTGAGTTCTGCTCGCCGTTTTCTATTTCCCGTTTTCAGGCGCGCGGCGGGCACCTCTCCCGGAAGGCCCAGCCGCCGCGCGTTGCCGGGTAGAGCCCGACGCTAGGCGCTCTGCGCCCCCGGCCTTTCCTTGGGCTGGCCCTTGGTGCTGGGCCGCCATGGGCTCGGAGATGGAGCCGCTGCTCCTGGCCTGGAGCTATTTTAGGCGCAGGAAGTTCCAGCTCTGCGCGGATCTGTGCACGCAGATGCTGGAGAAGTCCCCTTATGACCAGGTACCGACCGGCCCTGTCAGCCAGAGCATCCTCGCGCAGAAGCTGAGGGCTCTGGGCATTCCACGGCCCCGGGGAAGGGAGGCCGGGGAGGAAGGCCCCAGGTTAGGCCGACCATGGTCTGGCCGCAGAGGCACCTGGGGCCAGAACCCTTGGAGCCCTGGCTGGCAAGTCCCTGCCCTCGGCGTCCCCCGGGATCCCCAGTTCTGTGCCTTGACTGCCCCCTCTGCAAACTTCAGCATCCCTTTTTCTTTAAGTTACCCAGAATGAGTGCCCTGATTTTTCTCTTGTTAAGTAACTTAGATTTTCCATTTAGTTGCCTCTGGACAAACTCTTAAGCTCTCAACAAAAGGTGTCAAGAAAAAAACAACAAACAGCAAACCCCGTGCAAACAAAGATCTGTGACTCTCCACCCCCTTTTAACCCAGTTGCCTTTTCGTTTGAATCAAAAGTGACCTTATCACCTCATCTTTAGACAGTTGTCCAAAAGTGGAGGAACTTTTGATTCTGGACCATGAGTTCAACTTGAGGCAAATACACAAGATAAAGGAGAATGTATGAAGGGGAAAGATACATTTATTATTAAAGAAATTACCTGGGCAAAGAAAACTGTAATTGTAGGAGGGAGGGATAGGACAGAAAGTCTCCCTAGAAGAAGGAATGATGGTATTGGTTAAAAGGGAGCTTGAATAAATAATGAATGAAAAGGGTAATAAACCAAGTGTGTGAGGTAACAACTGATGGGCAGGTCACTCCTGGAAAAGAAAAAAGAATGAAAGAAAAAGTAGACTTATGGCAGCTTGTTAGTGAGTGCTTCTAGTAAATGTGGAATGTACCTAGACAGTTCTGGTTCCCCAGCTTTTCCTCTAGTGGTGTTGCCTTGGTGTTTAAAAAAAAAAAAAAAAAAAAAAAGGAAAGTGGAGGGGAGATCTAAGTGTGCCTTAGCTTCCAGCTAAGGACGAACACTGTTGAGAGTACATCTCCTCCCAAACAACCCGTATTAGTGGTAATGCTAAGCTAGGTTCTGTTCCTGGTAATTGACTTTAGTAAATAGGAACAAGTTTCTGTAGACAAGCATTCTTTCAAGGGTGTTTCTTGGCACAGTATTTCCACAAATCCTGGGGGATAAAAAAGATTCCATAATCAAATATGTTTGGGAGTTGTGAGAAAACGTTGACACTTTTACTTTTGTTAAGACAGAGGGTTGTCAAAAACTTTTGATGTTCCATACATTGTTTTAAGCTCAATGGTTTGCAAGAACTTAACTTGCTCTTTCCATTGTTCCATTAAATTAGGGTAGTTTCCATTCAGTGTTCCACTGAACACTAGTCCCAAGAGCTGTTCAGTGAAAAAAGTTTCTTCATTACATGCATTTGGGAAATGTATATTCCCTTCTTAGGGATTCAGGATGCATACTAAAGGCTCTGAGTTGTTCTGAAGAAAATAAACCTAATTTTGCCTAATTTTGATTAAGTTTTAAAATTTATTTGATGAGTGATTCCTTTTTTTGACCAGGGCAAGGGTCAAATGTCTTTCTTATTATCCTGAGGAGATGCTGTCACATTGGGAAATATTGTTATGAGTAAAACAGCAATGTTTATTGATGTCTAAGACCCTATAATCTTGGGTCCGTAGAGACATTCAGCACTGCACCTAGGAATTGAGATTTCACTTGAGACAGGCATTGTGATCAGGACTTTTTATGGTTCATTTCAATTATATCAAATGTTTAGTATTTTCAGACATAGATTCTGTAAATTATATGTATTTTTAATGCTTAGATTAATCTTGCAAAGTAGATAAAATAAGAGTAGTAGCTTAACTGATGTGGTGCAGAGTTTTATTATATCATCTCATTTAATCCTCAACTGTTTTTAGGAGTTGGTGCTGTTTTCTCCACTTTAGTGAACACTAAAGCACAAAGTGAAGTAAATTGTCCAAAATTACAAAGCTAGTAAGCCTACTGCGTTTGCATGTGGTTTTGTCTCTGATCTTTTCCACTGGTCTTATTCCTGTTTTGGTGTCAATACCATGCTGTTTTTGTTACTATAACTCTTTAGTGTAATTTAGGGTCTGGTATTGTGATATCTTCTGCTTCACTTTTCTTCCTAAGTATTGCTTTGGCTATTCTGGGCCTCTTAGTTTTCCAAATGAATTTCATAACTGCTTTTTCTTTTCCTATGAAGAATGTCATTGGAATTTCTTGTTTTGAGTGTCAGTTTTAAAAAAATTAATGTAGAAAATTCTGCCTGGATTCCTTCAGGTTTTTCTAGTAGTAATTGTTATCATTGGTGTTTCTTATGGTGCTTTTGTTGTTTCAGTAGAGGGTGTCAAATGGTGTGGGATATTCCCATCTATGAAGAGTTTTAACAGAAATGTGACCAGAGCAGGAGTAGCTAATCCTTAGACCACCCAGTTGGCTCTTTACCTTCTATGCTCTTTTAGCCTCATGGGCATTTATTGAATTTCCACATTTTAGAGTACTTTTCCTTTATAATGATTTGAATTACCATTCCTGTGCCACCAAACTGATTTTAGTATGAATAAGTTATTTTGAAGCTGTGCCTGGGCACATAGAGGAGCAAGGAAATGAAAATATTTCTTTTGATTGTCACATGGATTCATTTTTGCTTTTGTTTTTTCTTTTCCCAAAACATATGCTAGCTTTTATTTTCAATAGTGTTATTTTTTTCACTTTGGTTTTGCTTATTTTTCTCCCAGATGAGGAGAACCTCTCTAAATTGATCTGTTATGTTTGAATCTTCTTGTATGCTGAGCCAGTGAGCTTCAAAGAGAGAGTGTGTAGACCTGCTTTACATCAGCCTAGCTAGTTAGAAAGATGTGATACTTGATGAATACTATGTTTTCTTAGAGTAATCCATTTTTATTTGGCTGTAAAAGGACTGATGGGTAGGTTGAACATAATAATATTGTGTTTGATCATGGGGATGGGTTCTTGAAGAACAGAGGTCCTGGACTTTTTTCCCAGTCACAAAATTGTGAGGGACAGAGGGAAGGCTGTATCCCTAAGCATGAAGAATGTTAAAGCTCAAATCTGCTAAGAATAAAGACAAGGTTACCAGGTTAATTCAGCATACTTTTCTCTTTTTGATAAAAATGATAAGAATAACCAATTTAGAGAGCAGCATTGCCTGTCCCTCCCCAAAGTATTATTTAAATCATGACTAAAAATGGCAAAAATTTATTAGATATAAAAGGGGAAAATGCAGACAGCCCTCTGTACAGTGATATGACCTAGAGGGAATGCTCGCTTTCTCAGCTCATGTCGCTCACCCTGATTAGTTGCTTAATCTGATTATTGTTCTCTGTGTTCCATATGTCAGATTCATGACTGTAAAACCAGTCCTGATTTTTTTTTTCAGACAGTGGTGTTTTTAAAAGACAACATACTTTCATTAATGAGATAGATTTCTGGTAGATTTTCAGATTGTTAAAATCAGTGATTCTGAGGGTGGGAGCATTAATTAGGTATCGGAATAGGGGTAAGAGCTTTTTCTAATGCACCTCTTCCTTTCCTGCTATCAATCTCTACTTAAAATGAGAGACATTATGGAGGGGAGGGGGTTCTTATATAAATGATTTGAAGGTGGGGAAAAGGCTGAGAGCCACTGGCTTAGATGAAAAAGAAACCAGTTCTCCCCAGTGAGCTCCATGTTAGTTAGCTGAGACAGCAATTAGATGTTCTACACCAAACATATCTTTCTGTACAGTTTCTTAATTTGTTTCCTCTTTGGGGCCATGGAGACTTAACTAGACTTAATACTTTGATTCCATACACTTTCAGGCAGTTCATTTTAAGGATTTTTGTTACTGCTGAATTGTACAGATTACATTTCCATTTGGCTACTTGGTCACTTGATCTCTCTAGCCTTCTGAAATCCATCAATTTCTCTGTTCTCTTACAGGTGTCTCCTTTCTGTTACTACTTGGAGTCACAATGAGGCAAGTCACTTGCCATGAGTGACTCCATCTTATGGGGAACATTCTATAATAAGCAGCACATGCAACTATGCTGCAAACAGCAAGTATTTATCTCCCCAATTAAGGAAGCTGCTGCACACAGTAACCAGAACATCCCAGAAAGTTAGAACACTGTCCCAGAAAGAAGTTTTGTTAGCTACAGAATAATAATATTGTGCTGATGAAAATAGATCTGCTTGAGTTCCTACTTGTTGATATAAAAAAAGGATGAGAGGCCAGTCCTGAGTAAAGCTTGGCTCACTCATGGTTTAAAAGACTCCAGGAGGCAGTTATTCTGGTTTAAAGGACTCCATGAGGTAGTTTTACTTTGTGTCATTATCTCAACATATTGTTGTGTGTTACCTCAACAGCTACTGGATTCTGAACAACTCTGCAGACTCATTAACCAGAGTAAGTGTTGTTGGCAATTAGGAAGTTTCATTCAGAAATATCTGGAGGGTTAATTCTCCAAAGTAATAACAACAAACTAAGAGAAAGCTGTACTCTGGGGAGGAAGGAAGGATGCAAACTGCTGTGAGCAGAAGTGGATGGTAATGGGGACTTGCTGGTTCTAGGCAGTGGCCTCTACTTCCCCTGTCCTTACCACTTTGAAGGAGATTCAAAGTTTTAATTTGATCTGCCATAACTGGGAATGAGTTCTGAGTTCTGAGAAAGATGAAATAGATGGTTAAGTGCATATCTTTTAACCTTATACTTAAGTATATGTGAAAGAACTCTAAAAATAATGAAGTATTTTTTAAAATGTAAGATTTTATTCGGCCTTAAAACTATCTCAGAAAGAAGATATTATTGCTCCAACTTGAGAGGGTAATGAAGGTTATATGACTTATTCAAGGTTATATGACTAAGTGGCTTCCTGAGGATCAAACCCAAATCCTTTGAGTCCAGGATAAGGCCTGGTGCTTTCTATTTAACTGTATTGATACCCATAGAAATATTTACTAGGCTAAGTGGACTTAAGCTGTGGTTTCCTATATGGGTGGACTGAATTAAATCACAAA